CCCCCACCCCCTTTTGAAACCAGTTGCTCAGTCACTGGGCTACATCCCCGGTGCATATTTTTTATTTTGAGACAGAGCTTGCTAAACTGTCCAGGCCTGTCTGAAACTTATAATCCTCAGGTCTCTGCCTTCCTAGCAGCTAGGATTACAAGCATACACTACCATGCCTGGCAGTTTATATTTTCTTAACTTTAGGCAGTTCTCACGCAAACTTGTATTGGGATTTAATTTTTATGATCACCTAACAACTTTTATCTTTCAGTTGTACCACATACTCTATTCGCTTTTACTGTATCTAAAAACTTCATAAAATTTTATTTCTACTTTCATGTCAACTTTTTTGTGTCTTTGTTCTTCTGTTGGCTTTTGTTGTACTGCATTATATGTTTTCACTCCACTATTTTGAAAGTGGGCATATGCTCTACTTAAATTCTAATTTCCATTTTATTTTTAAAATTTCCTTCTCATACAGTTTTGTTTCAGAGGATCCCAGAACATGGTCTGAATAACAGTTACTTTTTGAAACTTGTAAGTACAGAGGTGATCTGTGGGTAGGCAGGATGCACATGGACCCAGGGATCACTGTGACAGAGTGAGGAGAGGGCAGCTGAGGGCGGAGGCTGCCCTGTGTGCAGGACTGCCCACCAGTGCCCACTGGGATGGGGGGCAGATATGGATCTTCTGATTTCAGCAAAACAGAAAATGCAGTTAAGAGAACATACAAAGCTAGGGAGATCTATCTTCTGCTATTTATAAGCAATAGACCTCCAAAAAGGTCAATCTGAGTTCCAATTTTTAAAACGAAAACATATAAATAAGGATCCATCAGTCATGCAGAAATGTTTTAAATATTAGAGAAGGGTAGAATTGAGATGTGCTACGTACACATACCAACTCTTCACAATGAATCATGTACTACACACATGTACTAAAAAAACTGAAAAATGTTTAAGACTTATAAATGACTTCAGTATAGTCACAGGATATAAAAACCAACAAACAAAAATTGTTGCCTATCTATACATATTCCATGAACCATCCAAAAGAGAAATTAAGAAAGCAATCTTATTTAATAGCATCAAAGATTGGAATGAATTTAACCAAGGAGGTTATACTCTGCAAACTACAAGACACGAAATTCAAGAAGACACGAATAGGATGCTATGTGTTCATGGACAGCAAAGGTCATACTGTTGCAGTGTTTATACTATCAAAATGATCAAAACATTCAATGCAATTTCCTAGCAAAATTCAATTATATTTTCATAGAAATAGAAAAAAAATCCTGTAATTCATATCAAATCACAAAACCACCCCCACAGCTAAAGCAATCTTGAGAAAAAACAAGATGAGATATCACAACCACATTACATTACAAAGCAATCAAAATAGGCACAAGCCTAAAAACACACGTAGATCAATGGAATGGAACTGACAGTCCAGAAATAAAATCACCCACATACAAAGATGCTAAGAACACAGCACGAAGAAGAGACTCTCCTTAGTAAATGATACTGGGACACTAGATATGCACAGACAAATCATGAAACTGGATTCTTATTTTATACCATACTCATAAGAATTAACAAAAAGATTTAAAGGTCCAGATATGGTGACACAAACCTGTAATCCCAGAGAAGAGAAGCTGGAGGCAGGAGGTATAAAATTCTGAGCCTAGCCTGGGCACTTAACAATTTAGTGAGAACCTGTCTCAAAATTACTTAATTACTTAATTAACTGGTGTTTAAAAAAGGCTGAGTAGGGCCAGGGAGATGGCTCAGTAGGATAAATGCTTCCCTGGCAAGCACAAAGGCCTGAGTTCAATCCCCAGTTCCACCAAAAAAAAAGCTGAGAATATAGCTCAGGGCAAAGGCCTTGGTTCAATCCTCAGGGCCATAAGAAACAGAATGAGGATGTTTAGATGTAAAACAGGAAGCCATTAAACTTATTGCAAAAGAGAGGGAAAGCTCTTTCATAATACTGAAAATGACTTTTCAATAAAATTCCCAAAGAACAAGCAAAAATAAACAAGGGCAATGCCATCAAATTCAACAGCTTCTTCACAGACAAGTATCAGTAAAATGACAAGGCAACGTATGAAATGGGAGAAAAAAATATCAGGTAGTTTATTGACATTTTAATCAAGTAGCTTAGGTACTAGTTACAAACAAAATTCCATTAATAATTATTATTAAAGGAAACTACTTTAAACAGAAATCAGAGATTGATTTTAAAAATCCAACTGTTTAGGAAGACTAAATCTAAAATAAAAGCAGATAGTAAAGTCAAAAGGACAGAAAACGTGGCAAGCAGATACAGCTGACCCCTGTACAGGCTTTGCATCCACCTCTCATCCAACCACTCTCAACAACAGTTGTGCATCTTTACACATTTTTCCTGTCATCAGCCCTTACCAATACAGTATAACAACTGTCTGGATACATGTACTATGCTAGGAATCAGAAGTCATCTAGAGATGAGTCAAGGTACACGGGAAGACAGACACAGGTTATAAGCAAACATGCGTAATTTTATGGAAGAGTCCAAGCACCAGTTGACTGTGGTATCCACAGAGCTCCCAGAACCAATGCACTGCAGACACTAAGGAATGAAATGTACTAATTAAAAAGAAAGAAGAAGGCAGGTTGACAGCAGCCTGGGTGCATGTGCATGCGCGCACACACACACACACACACACACTTAAAAAAGATTCACAGAAAGGGTTACTGATTAATGATACAATGCAGGACCTGAGGTCCTTTATTATGAAGGGACAGGATGCAGAACAGGATGAGCAGCCAAAGGGCCCCTTGGAAGAGAACTGCTGCTGAAGGCCAAGGTAAGACAAATTCTGCACTGTTCCCAGTTTAGAGACAGGCAGAACTGCACAGAGAGCATGGGCTTCAGTGAACTAGAAGATTTACAGGAAAGAGTGAGGACAATCTCCAATAGCAAACTATGTTAACTGCAATCTATTTTCATATAA